TCGATATTTTCGTGGTTTGCTCCTAGTGGGGCAATTCGTGGTTTAATTTTCGTGGTTGACAGTTTACATAGCCTGTAAGGGGATGGCACTTCAATGATTTCGTGGGTTTAAATTTCGTGGGCAGCTCATAACCACGAAAATCACGAAATTTACATTCCACGAAAATTTCAAGCTATACGGCATCTTAAAACTCCTAAAATGTCAACTCTGCTTTTGTATGGTTGACTTTTGGATCATTGCAAATGGCTCAAATTTTGCCAAACTCTACTTGCCAAGTTTTATTTGGAAAGCAATTTTATTCAAGAAGGAAATAGTTGAAATTAATTAAAAAATAATATTTTAATAAAACTGCTTCTTTTTTGTTCTGTAGAAGCTGAGAGTACTGTCAAGTCGCTAAATGGAAGGTGGTTCGGTGGTCGTGTTATAACGGCAGAGCTCTACGATCAAGCGAAATTTGATGCCAACGACCTTTCACACTGAAAGACTGTCGAAATCAAGAAAGGAGAGAATTAAGATGTCTCTTCTTTGTCTCCTTGACCTTTTACAAATGGATTGATACACACACATGTACAAAACAGACTTGTGAAATACCTCTCTCTCTCTATCTTTTTTGAAAGGATCAAATGATGAGAGAGAAGAAGAGGGAGACGGAGAGACTCTCACCTCACTACAACAAGAAGAAGAGGTCTCCATATCAGGGAGCAGTGCTAGGATGATGATTATGCAGAAATTGTCGAGAAAATCAGAGGTAAAGGAGGTGTGGGGGTTAAAAATGTCATTGATTTATCGAATCAAGACATTATCATTTGAACATATTGTATTTGTTGGTGGCTATTTTTAGTAATGTGTTATGTCATTTTGTATCTATTTTTAGCAACAAGCGAAGCAGAGTGAAGTACAAGTTCAGCAGATGCAGTCATTGCAGGAGGCAGCCAACCAGCAAAGAGCACTACTACTCATGAGCCGGTGAGATAATGTACATGTATGTACATGTACAATAAATTACTATTATTATTATTATTACAGTACGTCCTCGATTATCTGTACCTCGTTTATCTGAACGCATGGCTGTCTCTAATGCACATGCTCAGACTAGTTAATTAATTAATAACCGGTTAAAATGGCTACTACAGCAAGGAGCTTAAACAAGAGAGAAACCATT